GGGACAGCGGAGGGACACAGGAGGGGAACGAGGAGGAAGACGGGCCGGAGACGAGTCCGGCGGCGGGAACACAGGACCGTAGACAGGAAGGTCAGCAGGCGGTGGGGGAGACACCGGCGAGCGGTCCGGGGAGGGAAGGCCGAGCAGGCGGAGAGCGGAGACCGGCGGCGACGGCTGCTGCGGCGGCGACGGCTGGGCCGGAACCCTCGGACCGGCAGAGGCAGGACGACCGTCGGCGAACCTCAACAGCAGCACCCCCAGAACCAACACCCCCAGAGCGAGAACCCCCTCCAACACCAGCGGCACCCCCAGGCCGCAGGACGAACACCCTCCTCCACGCCAGCACCCCCAGGGGCCAAGAGCGGCGGCGACGGCAGCGGGCGGCGGCAGCGGCGCGGGCGACGGCGGCGGCGGCTGCGGCGAGGCGGCGACTGCGACAGTGGAGGCGGAGACACCGGGGAAGGGGACGCGGCAAGGACGGGCCGGGGGTACCACCAGAGTCAGCAGACTCCTCAACGGGGACAACCGACGGGAGGGGAGTGACGTGAGAGACACCAGACGGGGCAGGACGAGGCGGGAGAGGGCAGGGGCTACCGGGGGAGAGGGAGCAAGGAACAGGGGGGGGCAACCGGGAGACCTCGGTGAGGGAAGCGGCGGTAGAAGGAGACACTCGTCAAAGGTGACGTCACGAGAGTGGAGGAAGCGGTGAGACGGCGGGTGGTAGAAAAGCCAGTCAGACGAGTCCAGGGGGAAACCGAGGAAGACACAGGGGACAGTGCGGGCAGTGAGCTTGTCCGTGCCAGAGGCACGAACGTGAGCAAGGCAGCCCCAGACGTGGAACGCAGTCACCGGGGACCCGGTCCAAAGGAGGGTCGGCGAAACCTGCGGCCGCTGGGAGCGTGGCCACAGTTAAGCTGGTGAGCAGCGTAGCGAACAGCGAACGGCCACAGAAAATGGGGGGCATCGGCATGAATCATGGAGGTACGGGCGACCTCCATGACCAAGCCGATGCGGCGCTCAGCAACCCCATTCTGCTGTGGCGAGTCCGGCAAGGTGTACGACTGGGTGATGCCCTCCGCACGACAGAACTGTCCAAGCCGACCAGAGGCGAACTCGCCGCCACGGTCAGAGTGGAGACACAACACGGGGAGACCGCGGTGAAGACGCGCAGCCACAACCCACGGGAGAAGAACGTCGGGCACGTCGGCCTTCCGCTCCAGGGGAAACACCGTGGTGTAGCGCGTGTAGTCGTCGACGAGCACAAGGAAGTAGCGCTCACCTCGCGGTCCGGGGACGGGGGCAGGGCCCCAAACGTCCAGGTGCAGGGTCTGAAGGGGGGCAGTAGCAGGGCGCAGCGAGGAGGAGTGAGGAGCACGGCGGAGCCGGCCCTCGACGCAAGGCGTGCACGGTGGCGCAGTCGAGGGAGGAAGGGCAGGGAGACGCGGGGACCTAAGACAAGACCGTGCTGGGACATGTGACGCAGACGTGGGAGAGCAGGGTGACCTAAGCGGTGGTGCCAGAGAAGGGACGGGTGAGTGAGGGACCGACACGAGCAAGCTGCAGCGACCTGGGAGGACGCACCAACCGGGGGGAAGCGGTGTCTAGGGTAAACAGACCGGACACCGGGTCCCGGGGGAACGTCGCAAGGGGGGAACCTGAGACAGCCTCAGAACAGACAGCGAACCGCTCGTGCCCGGGGAACGTGGTGGTGACGCCGAGGTCCTGGAGACAGCCGACACCACACAACCAGGTTCCTCGAGAACGAGGGAACGTGGAGGCCTGTAAGGGAGCCCGAGGGAACTGCTGGACAGGGAAGGGACGTAGAACTGCGCGCGACGACAGGACCCGCAGAGGGGTCAGCGAGAGAGACAACAGCAGGCGTAGCAAGCGGCGTGAGCGGAACGGTCGCGGAAGAAGCAGGCAGAAGCACCGGAGTCGAGAGTGAAGGACAGCGAAGCTGTGGCGGAGGCCGGGAACGGGGCCGGTGCAGAGACTAGGGCTAGGCAAACTAGGCAGTCCTACGCATGACGCAGCAGGGGAGGCTAAGCTACACAACGGTGCAAACACCTAAACTAGAGTACACTGGGTAATAAGATCCAGCAACACTAGAAGCATCAGAATACCAAGGCATGAAAAGCAGTAACCTATCTGATCCATGTCTAACTCAAAGATCGGCACGCCCTGGCGGAGCAGGCTCTGCCAGTCGGGGAGGTCCGGGGCTGGGCCAAAGCGACGACGAAAGAGATCGTCAAGGCGGCGGAAACAGCGGGCGGTCAGGTGCGGGCGGCGGCACAGAGTGCCGCGAAGAGGCCCGGTCTGAAGCTGGTACTGGGAAGTGACAGCACCGAAGCCGCCGGTAGACGCTGAGCTGCGCGGGCCGCCACCACGGCCACTACCTCCGGAGGTGCCGGGCCAACCAGGCGGGAGACGGGCCCACGGCTGCGGCGACTGCTGCAGGGACGACGGCTGCTGTTGGGACGGCGGCTGCAGCTGGGCTGCTCCTGTTGCGGCTGGGGCTGCTACTCCTGCTGACCGGTGGTAGTCCCCTCAGGTGGACTACCGTCACCACCACCACTGCCACCACCACCTGCGCCACCACCCCTACCTCCCTGGCGACCACGGCCACCGCGGCGCGAGTGCTGCTACGAGTGGACCGCAGCAGCCGTCTCGGTGAGAGGGGTCGCCGTGGCGACCGCAGCCGAAACGTCAATGAACGTGCACTGGGAGGGGGCACAGCCGTGAAAGATAGAGACCGCCGGCGCACCACTCGACTCAGCGATAGTGCGCTGGCGAGTCTCGATCTCGGTGAGGGGTGTCGACAAGGCGGTGAGGGTGAGGTCACCCGGGTGCTGGCTAAGAAAGTGATCGCGAGCACTAGCGAGGCGGTCTGGCAGGCGCATGGCGATAAAATAGAGCGTCATGCAGAAAGGGGGGGGAGCGTAGTGAGCTGGGCGGCAGTGCTGGCAGTGCGATAGCGGGTCTCTAGGGCATGCAGGTGAGCGGCAAAGTCTGCGACGGTAGGGAAAGCTGCAAGGTCTGGGAAAAGCATAGGGAAGAGCAGGCGACCAACAGAAGCAGACGCGGGTGTAGAATAGCGGACAATAACAGCGTCTAAGTAAGCTTTGGCCGAATCAATAGTAGCAAAGCGCGAGCGCTCAGACACAGGGAGGGCGTGGCTAATAGCAACCTGAGCGACTGCATCGCGGGAGTCCCAGACCGCACGGGAAAGCGCAGCAGTAGAGAAGGTCTCACGGTCATCAGAGGAGGGATCAGCAGGGAGGGCAGCAGGTGCGGGGGGGCGGGGGAGCAAGCCGTCTTCATGGACAACCAAGGAGTGGCCATCCTGGCGCTGACCTGTAAGGTGGCGGCGGAGATCGGAGAGCCAGGCGGCGAAGTCAACCGCATGGCCCTCGGCGTCCAGTCGGAGCACGAAGTCAGCCATCGTGCAGGGTCAGCGACACAGCTCCACAGCTCCGCAGGGACACAGCGACGCAGGGACACGGCGGCAGCACTCTCCAGCACGGCGGCCGCGAGGCGCCCCAGCGCTGGCGAGCAGAGTAGACGGAGCTCGAGGTGGCACGGCAGGCCGAGCAAGCACGAAGAGGGGCCGGGCGGGCAGTGGGAAAGGCCAGGCAGACGCGGCAGGGCCAGGGGGGGCGCGGCGGGGCCAGGCAGGCGCGACGGGGCCAGGCAGGCGCGGAGGGGCCAGGCAGGCGCGGCGGGGCCAGGCAGGCGCGGCGGGGCCAGGCAGGCGCGGCGGGGCCAGGCAGGCGCGGCAGGGTCAGGCACGCGCGGAGGGGCCAGGCAGGCGCGGCGGGGCCAGGCAGGCGCGGCGGGGCCAGGAAAGCGCGGCAGGGCCAGGCAGGCGCGGAGGGCCAGGCAAGCGCGACGAGGCTAGGAGGCGCGACGGGGCCCAGGAGGGGCGCGCCGGGGCCAGGCAGGGCGTGACGGGGCCTAGCGGGCGGGACGGGGCCTAGGATGCACGACGGGCCCAGGAGGGGCGCGACAGGGCTAGGAGGCTCGGCGGGGCCCAGGAGGGGCGCGACGGGGCCCAGGAGGGGCGCGACGGGGCCAGGCAGGGCGCGATGGGGCCTAGCGGGCGCGACGGGGCCTAGGAGGCACGACGGGGCCCAGGAGGGGCGCGACGGGGCCCAGGAGGGGCGCGACGGGGCCTAGCGGGCGCGACAGGGCCTAGGAGGCACGACGGGGCCCAGGAGGGGCGCGACGGGGCTAGGAGGCGCGGCGGGACCCAGGAGGGGCGCGACGGGGCTAGGAGGGATGCGGCGGGGCCTAGCTAGGGTACGGGCGGAAGCGGTATGTGGGGGATGCTAACCTACGCGTGATACCATGTTAAAGTAAGAACTGAATGATCAACTAGAAGGAGAAACCTAGAACAAGTACGAGTTGGTTGTACTCACTAGAAACATACCCCAGTCTAGCCTATAACTTCTACATAGCTAATATATATAAGTTGACATCCTCCTATTCCTAGCTAGCTCATATTCTAGTATTCTGACAACGGCGCCACTAGCAGCTTATGATGCGACGACTTTGTATCTATTCCTTTTTTTGTTATTGTAAGACTCGTAATCCTAGGTCCTCACATGGATTCAAGACAGGTCGGAACTCTTGAGTTGTTTTTGTTTTGGGGGCATATGGAAGGGGTTTATGATTGGCGCGTGTTCTTGCAGCCTGCTGACATGAGTCGTCTGGGTCGCTCGGTGCTCTAATCTAGTCTTGTCGCCCACAGGCTTTTTTTGTTGTGTTGCCACACCTCCATGGGCGGTCAGCTGCCAAGGGGCGAAAAGGGATTCCATTCCAACGTTCATGCGCGGGGCTCGTTTTGCCTACAGTACACCCCCTATCAAATTGGGCCCAAGTAGAAGGGGGCGAAAAGGGATTCCATTCCAACGTTCTCGCTTTAATTCCTAACAGCAACAACGTGGGTAACAAAAAGAAGCCCAATAGGCGCGGGGGGGTATTTTGTTCGCTGGGCGTATTGTTCGCTGGCGACGTGCGAGGTTGCAGAACTTCGTGCAGAAATTTTGTTAGAGGTGTTTCTGTAATTGGAGAGGGAGCAGGATTTCTGGGCGGTATTTTTGGTCCGGCGCAGGTACCTAAAAGTGGTAACTGAACTCGGTGTTGAAGAGAGCAGGTACTTAAGTGACACACCCTAACCCAGGCACTGTACAGTGCCACCCAAATAGTGTCAGCGTGTACAGTGACTGCAACCCGTCAAGCCCGGATTACACCTCTCCCTCCCCACCCCAGCTTCGCACTCTCCTCTCCTCCCATCCCATCCCACCCACTCTTCCCACGCATCTCCCCAGCGATGCTCGCACGGCGACTCCACGTTCCACGCGCCCCACCTCGTTGCTGCCGCGACTCACCCCCATGGCCACGCGGGCAATCGGCCGGCTCCAAATCGCTACTCCCTTCCTGCCAACCCGTCAAGTCCGTACGCCACCGTCCCCGTCCCCTTGGCGTCCCCCAGACCCTCCGCTGCCGCGCTCCACGGGGCCGGCGCGGCGAAGCGGAGAGGACAGGCGAGCGTGCACAGGGGACCGCGCGGGGGGCTGCGCGGGGCTGCCGGTGGTGCACCACGCGCTGTTCAGCGCGCCGCAACTGGCGGCGGGGCACCGTTTCCCGATGGGCGTGTTCGAGGCGATTCACGACATGCTGCTTCGGGAAGGGATGGTGCGACCCGCGCAGGCGAGTGACCCGCGCAGTGAAGGGCGGTGGGGTGCGGTGGGTGGGGGGCTGCTGGGAGGCGTGAAAGGAATGAAGAGAAAGGTGCGAGTCTGATTGAAGGGAGGAGCATTGGTGCGGGGAGGATGAGAGGCGGTAGCGGTGGGTAAGCCGTAGAGGCAGCGGACGAGATAAACCGAGTTGTAGGGTATCCACTCCATTCGCTCCTACCCTCCATATTCTCTCTCCTTTCCCCCCCCTCCTCCACCCATCTCTCGCTCTTCCCTTTCCCCCCCCTGTACCATCTCTCTCACTCTCCCTCCTGCACCCTCCCAGGTGGTCACACCCCATCCAGTGCCTCTCGCCTCGGACCTGCTTCGAGTAGGTCCGTCCCTCCCTTTCTTCCCTCCCTGCATCTTTGTCCGCTACTCGTTCAGTTTCCCCAGCCCCACACACTATGATTGGCAAACCAACACAACACAGGGGCAGCTCTCTGTGCCAAACCAAAGGGCATCTCCCACACATACACCCCACATGCACCCCACATGCAACCCACATGCACCCCACATGCAACCCACATGCACCCCACATGCACCCCACATGCACCCAACATGCACCCCACATGCGCCCCACATGCACCCCACATGCACCCCACATGCACCCTATATGGATGCGCTTCAGCACACCCCCTCTCCTGCGCCCCTGTTCTCTACTCTCCACGTCACACCACCCCCCCACCCCCAGTTTCCCACCCTTCTACCCCCTGTTCCTCCCACAACTCTAGCTTCACCACCTTCCCGAATGCCCCTCTTCTCTCCCTGTCCAGTCCACCCCTCACCACCCCTCACCACCCCTCACCACCCCTCACCATCCCTCACCAACCCCCCCTCCCCTTCCCCCCCAGGTGCACTGCCCGCAGTACGTGGCTCTCTTCTGCCAGGGCGCGCTGCCCCCTGCTGCCATGCGCCGCATTGGCTTCCCCTGGTCGCGCACCCTCGTTAGAAGAACACTCGCCGAGGTGGGCTGTGGTGGGCTGGGTCAGGGGTAGGGAGGAAGGGTGTGTGCGGGTGGGGTATGGATGGGTTATGTTGGGGTATGGGTGGAATATGGGTGGGGTATGGGGTATGGTTGTCTGGGTGTGGGTGAGTGATGTGCAGAGCGTTGGGGTGCTGCCGCTGTTCCTGCTTCAAGTGTACGTGCCTTACACACCATCTCTATGCCTCAGTACACTGACTTTCCGATTGCCTTCTTTCTGCTCCTCATGTGCGCTTGACCCTCCTCTCCCCTCCCGTCTCCTCCCCTCTCTCCTACCTCCCTCCTACCCCCACCTGTCAACTCCCCTCTCTCCTCCCTCCCTCCTCTCCCCTCCTCTCCCTCCTCTCCCTCCTCTCCCTCCTCTCCCTCCTCCCCCCTCTCTCCCAGGTGGCAGGCACGTTGCTGACGGCACAGCTGGCACTGGAGCACGGGCTCGCATGCAGCACGGCAGGGGGTAGGGAAGGGATTGGCAGGACGGGAGTAGGTAGTGAGAGGCTGTGGAGCACTACACTGCCTCGCATGCAGTAGGGGCTGAGGTGTGAGGCGTGCTTGGAAAGAGGTTGTAAAACACGACCGTACTGCCTGCACTGTACTGAGTGATTGAGAGCCTTGTGTGTGTGGCTTTGCAGGGGACGGAAGGGGACGAGCACGCCTGGCGGCTGGGCTGCTGGCTGGTGGGGTGGGGCAGAGCTGGTTTTTGCGAGAATTCTTTGAAACCAGCTCAACTCATGCAGCATGAGGTGTGCTTTGAATCCAGAGGAAAGAGGAGCAGTTGGACGGAAGGGGTGGGTGGGATGGGATGGGAAGCTGCCATGCCAACCCATCACATGGTGACAGCCCCCTGCCATACCAACCAATTGCATGGGTGTGCAGCTGCCGTACATCCACCCGTATCTATATTACCTTGGCTCTTCTTCTCCCCCCCCCTTCCGCTGCCCAACGTACCCAACCCGTCGCTCTGTCTCCTACCAGGCACGCACCATGCATTCCGTGACTATGGGTCGGGCTACTGCATTCTGAATGACCTTGCTGTCACTGCCGCCGCCCTCACTTGCTCCACCGTGCACCCCACTGCACCAGACCCACCACTACCATCACCGTCAACATCACCAGCAGTGCCTTCGTTAGCCCAAGCATTTTCCTCACAATCGGTACCGCCAGCAGCATCACTACCATCCGTTTTACCAGCAGCAGCATCACTACCAGCCGCACCTGCACCAGCAATCGCGGCTGCTGAGGGCAAGAAGCAGGACCTCTGGAGAGAGCTGCTTGCGGGAGCAGAGGACAGGGAGGGCGAGAGGGTGGTGAAGCGAGTGCAGCGAGTAGCGATAGTGGACCTGGATGTGCACCAGGTGATGGTGTGATGTGATGTGATGTGAGGTGAGGTGAGATGAGGTGAGGTGAGGTGAGGTGAGGTGAGGTGAGGTGAGGTGAGGTGAGGTGAGGTGAGGTGAGGTGAGGTGAGGTGACGTGAGGTGATTTGGTGTGGTATTGTGTGATGTGGTGTGGTGTGGTGTGATGTGATGTGATGTGGTGTGGTGTGGTGTGGTGTGGTGTGGTGTGGTGTGGTGTGATCTGGTGTGGTGTGGTGTGATGTGATGAGCGCACCAGGTGTGGTGTGGTGTGGTGTGGTGTGATGAGCACACCAGGTAACGTTTTCCCTTGCCCCCATCTTCCTCGCTCCCTTTAACCCCCTATTTCCACCTGCACCCCCCAATCACTTGCTCCAACTCCTCTCCCCTTGCCCTTACAAGTCTTTGCTGCGCTTCCCCTCCCTCCTCCCAGCTTCTTCCCTCTGCTACTCATTCTGTTGCCCTTTCTCCTTCTCCATAGTCCCCATTCATCTCCCCTTGTCCATTCCCCCCTGCGGTTCCTTCCTCACCTCCCTTCTCTCCTCCGCCTCTTGCCCCCCTCCCCTTCCCTCCCCCTCCCTCAGGGCGATGGCACAGCAGCCATGCTCGCCACGTGCCCCAACGTGTTCACCTTCAGCATGCACTGCGGGGCCAACTTCCCAGCCAGGAAGCAGGTGAGGGGATGGACAGCTACCGAGGTGATGCATGCGTGTAGGAGTCTGACGGCTCCCTTGGCTGCATGCAGGTGAGGGAGCCAGTCGCAGCTGCCCCTCTTCCTTTCTTACTTTCTTTTCATCTGCTTCTTCCCTTTAGGGACTGGAGAGCGACAGGGAGTACTGTTAATATTACTCGGTGGAATTGCAAAAGTTTGGGAAGGGGAGGGACGACAGACAGGAATGTGCTGGGATGTCATTGACGAGTCCCCAAAGCCAACTTATCATGTATCTGAAGCATCACTGTGCAGATCATTCAAGTGCCAAATTATCACGTATCCCTCCAATCCAACTGATGCGTATATTTAAAACCGCCGTCAAGTGTTTTTCCGATGTTTTGCAGTGGATGGGCCAATGTGTTTGTGACTGGAGAGCGAGCGGCGAAACTCGGAAGCATGCAGACTGTGGTTACCAACGTAAAAATGGAAAGCTATGATTGGCTGATGCCAATTCGTGAGAGAGAGTTGCATCCCACATTGGGTTGTCTCTGTGAAATGCCTTACATTTGATTGACCCCAGGGAGCAGTTCTAATGCTCGCTGTCAGTCTGACCTCCCATCAAACAAGTCGTACAAAACGAGCTTTTTTTTTTTTTTTTTTTTTTTTTCCCAAACCAATTTGTGAACCGCGCGGAACCACGTGATTCTGATGCGAGGTCATCAGAATGGCCTCCAGTATGACTTACGCATCTCACACTGGGCACTTCAGCATTTACCAGGTTGGGTTGTGTGAAAATGCCAGATGGTTCCAGCTTTGGTTCCGTGCCTGGCTGGTTCGGTAAAAGAAAGCCACTGTTGACTTTCTCCACCCTCGCTAAGCTTCACATCAAAATTTGCAGCCTGTGAGCCAATAACAGCAAAACAAGTTTCACATGAGCGAAACATTTCAGAAACACTAGATGGCGGTTTTAAGCCTGCCATGTGACTGTCTCTGGAATGCAGTCCGCAGTGTGGTAACGCCAGGTTGTGTCAAAGTGGTGTTGATGGTCGGTCTCTGTTCCATCCACATCTTGATAACCTGACATGTTGCTGGCACTCCCTTGGCGGTTCTCTCTCCCTGCAGCGCAGTGACCTGGACGTGGACGTGCCAGAGGGCACAGGGGATGCTCACTACCTCGCTCTGCTAGCCGACCACCTCTCCTCTGTGCGTGCACCGCTGCTCCTCTGCACCTCTGCATCTTGGCACCTTTGCCCCTGTGCACCTATGTGTATCTCTGCCACTCTGCACCTCCCTGGATCTCTGCCCCTCTGCACATGTGACTGCATGTGACTGCATGTGACTGCATGTGACTGCATGTGACTGCATGTGACTGCATGTGACCGCTGTTGCTGCATGTGATTGCATGTGCGTGGTGGACCTGACCTTGTCCGGCCATGTCCAGCTGTGCGTCAATCCACACCTGCTTGCAATCCAAGTCCATACTGCCTCCTCCCCCCCTTCACCCCTCCCCACACATGCATTCCCATTCCCCCTCACACTCATTCCACCCTCCCGTCCCACTCGTTCCACCCTCCCCTCACGTGCACCCCCACCGCCATCACCAGGTGCTCACATCATTCCGCCCAGACCTTGTGCTCTACGATGCTGGAGTAGACCCCCACATGGACGACGCCCTTGGCAAGTACGTCCTCTTCATTCTCCCTCTTCTCTCCTGCTCTTTCCCCTCCCCCCACCGTTCCACCCCCCATCCCCCTTCCTCTCTCTCTTGAACCCCATAATCCTATCGTCCTCCTGTTATCCTCTCACATTCTACTGACTCCTCTCTCTGTGCATCCCCTTCCCCAACACCCCATGTGCACAGGCTGTGCCTGACGGATCAAGGGCTGTTTCGCCGAGACATGCAGGTGGTGCTTCTCCGCCCATCACCCCTCTTCCGCCCATCACCCCTCTTCCGCCCATCACCCCTCTTCCGCCCATCACCCCTCTTCCGCCCATCACCCCTCTTCCGCCCATCACCCCTCTTCCGCCCATCACCCCTCTTCCGCCGATCACCCCTCATCTGCCCATCACCCTGCTTCCGACACTCAGCGTCCCTCTCTCGAGGATCTTTTTGCCAGCCTTCCCCTCTTCCGCCCATCGCTCCTCTTCTTGCCATCACCTCACTCTCAACACCCCTTGTCCCCTCTCTCGAGTATTATCTTCCCAGCCTTCCCCTCTCTGCCCATCGTGATTCTTCCATCCTGCCTGCCTTCATCCCCATATATCCTCATCCGTTTCAGACCCCCTACCTCTCCCCTGGCCAAACCCCAATGACCATGGAGCTGTGTATCATCGCTGCCTATCATCGACCTCTCTATTCCCGTCCCTCTCACTGCCTGCGTTATTCTCCGTCTCTCGGCGCCATCCACCTCAGCATGTAGCGTCTTTTGCTGCATGCGTGTGCACCACCCCTTGCACCTTCCTCACAACTCCCTCACACCCGCCCCCAGGTGATTGACACGTGTGTGGGCATGGGCATCCCGGTGGCAGCATACGTGGGGGGCGGGTACCACCGCAATGTGCAGGTCAGCAGGGCTCACATTCACGAGCATGCAGGGCACACATGTGAATATTAAAGGTGTTGAGTTCTTCCACGTGCGCCCCATGCATGGGTGCGTGCCCAGGTGTGGGTGCAGTGCTATGCATGCATGGGTGCACTGTTGTGCTTTGATCCATCTGTGTTGAAGCAAGGGCTGTGACACAGCCTGACAGCAGGACCTCGTCCCACAGCCGTATCACACACACAGTCACGAGTTGAGCTGGTGGGTTCCCTACCTGCTGCTGCAAATATGTGGAGGGGCTATCCACGGTATATGCAGCACGTTCCTAGTCCTCTCACTTCTTTATTGCAAGAGGCACTTGGTTGACCTCCAAACCCAAGTGCTTATGGCATAGCACCACGCAGACCTGACAAGAGTGAACGCACAGGCTGGCATGAGAGCATCTTGCAACTCGTCAGCCCCCAAGGCCGCTGCTTGGCGCGCTTGCACTCATGTTGCCCCATCACTGCCTCACGTGCCTTTCCTACAGCTTTCTGCCGTCTCATGCCGATAGCTAGGAACAACAGTTTCTTTGCTCATTCCTTAATGCTGCAGCGAATTCCATGTCGCTTGCATGGGCACCCAGTCATCTGCTTTTGCCCCTGGACTGCTTCTACCCGTGCACCTTCCCCTTGCACCCTTGTCTCTCTTGCCGACCTCCCAGGTTCTGGCCCATCGACACTGCCTCTTGCACCGAGCAGCAGCCGAAGCATGGCAAGATAATGGCCTGTAGCTGTCCTGCAAGCTAGTTACTGCACTTGTTGGGCTGAGAAAAACCCTTTCCAGAGACTGAGTCACAGTTGTAAAAGGTGCTTGAGTAGTGCAGCGGAGGTTGAGTAGTTGAACCCTTGTACTAGTATATGAGAAAAAGTGATTTATTAAAAGAAACAAGCATACAGCAATATATAGAAAACAGGAAAGTAAAGCAGTTGTAGAATACAGTTGAAGGAACGGTTATCGAGTTGCACACAGGGCTGTCGTTTAAAAAAAAAGCACCCTGAGCTGTCGAATGGAAAAAAAAATTACCCTGAGGGGCCTTGTGTTGGAATTTTAGCTTCCCTGATTTCTCAGTGTTCTGGAACTTACAACCCTGAAACCTCCAGGGTTGGCTAGCCACAAACAGGGTTGCATTGCTGAGCAACGAACGCGTTCAGGGTTGCTTTCAACACGAGGGGGGAATAAAAATGGGGGGAAAAAGGGGAGGGAATCAAGCCGAGGGGAGGGGAAGAGCGAAACGGAGGGGAAGGGGGAGGATGGAAACATAGGGGAAGAGAGGAAGCGAAACGGGGAGGGAAAAAGTGGGGGGGGGGGGGTTGTTTCGAAATACAGTAGAGAGGAATGGGAGAAGCGAAACGGAGGGGAAGGGGGAATCGAAACAGAGGGGAGAGGGGAAGCGAAACGGAGGGAGAGGTGGGGATCGAGGCGAATGGGGCAGAAACCCCCTGCGCTTGCAGCTGTTAAAGTAGCTCTAGGCTAGGATACTAGGCAGGAACAAGGCCGCCATGAATGTGGCGGCGGGGTTTAGCTAGGAGCTGGACGAGAGTGTCGAGAGAGAAGAGATGGATTAGAAAGAGAGGGGAGTACAAGGAGGGGTTTGTACCCCCTACAGAAAGGTTCAGTAACAACCTACCAAGCCTATATTAAATTATAACTTATATAATTTGAACACACCCCCTAGGCTTGGTAGCGTCAAGCCCACTCACACCCACCCAACACACCACACACCCCCTAACCTAGCACCCCCATTCCAGCCACAGTGACAGCGACACTAGGTCAGTCGACCCCACGATACGTGAGGCGGCGACGTCGACAGCAGGGGTTGCAGCGGCGACGGCGGCAGCGGCGGCAGTGTCGACAGCGGCGGCGGCGGCGGCGTGCGGCTGCGTGGCCCCGACGCAAGCGGCGACAGCGGCGGCGGCGGCGGCTTCGACAACAGCGGCGGCGGCGGCGGCACCCGCACCTCTCGGTGACGTGGCCAGGCCCCGCGACGGTGGGACGGCCGGCGGGAGTCAGCTGTCGGCTGCGGCAAGATACAGGACACAGGGGAAGGGGGGCGGGGCGTGGTCCAGCCTCACGCTTGAGGCTGGCGTGCGGGCAGCAGGTGTGGCGGCGCCATGAACGTCGCGCGGCAAGCTGCCGTCCGACGCTGCCACGGCAGCATTACGACGCCGACACATCGCGGCGTCGATGCAGCGGTGGGACGTCGCCGCTGCGACGGTAAGCACGGCGCCGTCACTGCAGTGTGGCGTCGACGCCACTCGTCACGACGCGACGGCACGGCAGGAACGGGCATGGCCGCCACGGCGGCACGGCAGGAAGTCTGAAGGCAGTGAACGAGAACGCAGCGGAAGGACGGAGGGGAGCAGGCCCAGGAAGGACGTCCTGCTCTGATACCATGTTAAAGTAGCTCTAGGCTAGGATACTAGGCAGGAACAAGGCCGCCATGAATGTGGCGGCGGGGTTTAGCTAGGAGCTGGACGAGAGTGTCGAGAGAGAAGAGATGGATTAGAAAGAGAGGGGAGTACAAGGAGGGGTTTGTACCCCCTACAGAAAGGTTCAGTAACAACCTACCAAGCCTATATTAAATTATAACTTATATAATTTGAACAGCAGCGCCATGGGCAAATCGAGGACGTTAATCATACGCGATCATCGAACGGCTGAAATTTGTCGAAACGATCGCGATTTATCGTGGCCGTCAAAGTATGATGGACTTTCAGTTGACCACACGGGCAATAAAAAAACACCTGGAACACACGTCAAAGTTTTGAATGAGACTTTCACATATTTTTTTTTAACTGCATTGGAATGAGAGTAAATTCCGCATTTTAAACATAGGGAAATTCTCGCCAGTTGCCCATTTGGTCAACTGAAAGTCTAACAAAATGTAACGGTCACGATCGTTTGCGATCATTTCGACAAATATCAATCGTTCGATGGTAGGTAGTGATTAACGTCCAGGATTTCCCAACCGGGGCGCTGCAAGGGCGCGAAATTTCTCCCACCGCCTTATGCCCCAGCTTCCCCCCTTCCTGCCATTTCGATTCCCCCCTTCCCCTCCATTTTCGATTCCCCCCTCCCCTCCGTTTCGATCACTTCCCCCTTCCCCTCCGTTCGCTTCCCCCATCCTCTCTGTTTCGACCCCCCCCCCACGTTCCCCCCCTCTCCCCTCCGTTTCGCTTCCCCCCTCCCCCCCCATTTTGATTCCCTCCCCATTTCCCCGTCGGTTTCGATTCCCCCTCCCCTCAGTTTCGATTTCCGTGGCAGTGCGATTTTACCCCCTCGATTTTTAGGAACGGCTTCCCCGTTTCCCAGATTTATCTACGCAAAACAAGGGTTGACAGGGTTGCTGGTAAGGGGGTGGCGAGCCCTGGTTGTGGGAGTGTGGGAGGGGGGATAACTTGTGTACAATAGGACTAAGCCGTTTTTTTTTGTGCTGTCACTGCCTATCAAGACTTAGCTAATTTTTGTAGGTTCTTGTTAGGTGTGTAGGGGGGATGTCTGTACGACACATGACTTAGCCGATTTTTGTGGGTTGCTTGGTGTGTGAGGGAATGTTTGAGGACTTCACCAATTTTTGTAGGTTGTTGTGTGTGGGGGAGAATGTCTCTGGAGATTGGGGACTTCGACTAAATTTCCGCATTGTGAGCTACATGGATGTCGCACTCAGGGTTCGTACGCGTTACTCCATGAAAACTCAGTTTTGGGATAACGCAAACCCTGAAATTCAAAGTGTTCACAGACATACAACCCTGAAGAGGTTAGGGTTAAAAAAAGCCAAACCCTAAAAATTAAGGGTTGGCCAAAAAAATACCCTGTGAAATCAGGGAATCAGGGTAAAATACCCTGATAGCGACAGGCCTGGTCGCACAGCGACTCGATGGTCGATTCGGTTACCACCCTTGCAGTTGTAACGGTCACTCGCAACCTCCGGTTGCGACCCTTAGAGTCTTTCGTCCTTTCGTGTTCTTTCGTCCAACCTCCTTGTGTAACCTCCGTTGACTCGCATACTCGATATAGCTTCACCCGAGTGTGGTGTTACACTTCAGAAACGCTTAAGTCGTTGAGGTATTTCCAACACTCCCCTTCGTTTCTGGAGTGCTGACGTGTCCAGATTTGGTGACGTTTGTCTGCCCGGTCAGCAGCATGCAGTAATCGAACTTTGCTTTCGCCAGTTTCTTCGTCAGGTAGTCTGCAACCATTTCTGTCGTGGGGCAGTAACTGAGTTGAAGTCTCCCCTTCGCGATTTCGTCCTTGACGAAGAAATACCGCAGGGCGATGTGTTTGGTTCGGTTGGCGAAACCGTTTTTGTTCGCGATCTTGATCGCGGATTGGTTGTCGCAGAAGAGTGAGAAGAAGGGCAGGGTTGCAATCTTTGCTTCCTCGAGCAACTCTCGCAGGTAGAGTCCTTCCTTGGTCGCAGTGCATAGGGCAATATATCTGCTTCAACCGAAGATAGCGCGATTAGTTCTTGTTTGCTCGACTGCCAGGAGATAGTCCTGATAGGTTCTAGTCGGTAGATGTAGCCCGTCCTTGAGCGTCGATTTTCCCTGTCTCCTGCGTGGTCGGCGTCGACGTATCCGAGTAGTTGTACGGACGATGCTGTTGCTTTACTATAGGTAAGTCCGGTCGTCGGGCGTAGAGACGAAATAGAGTAGTGCCCGATTTAGTTCCTCGAGATCTTCTTGTTCCGGCTGCTTCAGATGTGTCGCCAGTTGGCTCGCGCTGTAAGATAGGTCTGGTCGACAGGTTACTGCTGCGAATAGTAGGCAGCCGAGCTTCTGCTGATACTCCTGGATTTGCTTCGCGGGGAGTTTTGCGGAGGTATCGTTGTTGTTCCCGTAGCGGTAGGGAGTCGTGACCATAGTTGGTGTTAGTCCGATTTTTTTCGCGACAACGCCTGCGTATTTTCCAGCGTATAGGTAGAACGCCGAGTTCTCTTCGACGACGTTCAGACCCAAATACTAGGTCACGGTGTTTGATACCGTGAGTGTCAAGTCACTTCTCAGCTCCCCTTCAAACCAGGTGGCGATGTCGATCGTAGAGCCGATGTAGAGTAGGTCGTCGACGTAGATGATGAGTAGGATAAAACCCCTTTCCTTCTGTAGTCGGTACATGCCTTGGTCGTGCGGCAGCTATAGGAACCCGATTCTGACGAGGTGACCGTGAAGATGCTGCTGCCAAAGCCGCGGAGCTTGCTTGATCCCGTAAAGGGATTTTATCAGATGGCATACTTTGTGGGGTCGTCGATGAATCCGTGGGGCTGCTCGACGAAGATCTCGGCATCCACAGGTGCGTACAGGAAGGCGTTTGCGGCGTCGATCTGGCGCAGTGGTAGTTTCTTCGTGGCCGCGACGGTGAGTAGAATGCGCAAGGAGGTGTGACGGGAGACGGGGGCGAATGTTTCTGTGTAGTCGGTTCCGTATCGTTGATCGAAACCTCGTACGACCCATCGAGCCTTGAATCGTTCGATGGAGCCGTCCGCATTAGTCTTGATGCGGTACACCCACTTTCCTGAGAGTATTAGTTCCCGTTGATGTTCGTTGCAGGTACCAGCTTCCATGTATTTCGGTCTTGCAGAGCTTTCAGTTCCTTTTCCATTGCCTCCTTCCATTTCGCCTTATGTTGCCCCCCCAGAGCCTGCGACAGAGTCGTTGGCTCGCGCGGAGACGGCGGCGGCGGGTGCTGGACGGAGACCCATAAGCCGAGTATCTGCAGTCCCGTGGGTGTGTGTCGAGGGGAATTTTCATTCCCGGAATAGGCTGCTTCGTCACCATCTTCTGGATCAGGTAAGAAGTTTGGGCCGATGCGTTCTGAGACATTCGTGTCGACCGGGTGAGGTGTATCGTAACCTTGGTCAGCGAAGTGGTAATGGGTGTCGAGGTTGTTGCTATCAA